TGCTATTGCTATTAGATTTGATTTTATTCTTTACTTTGACAATGGCTTCTTATTTTTCCTCCTTAAAAAAACATCTTCAGGATCTGGCCTTCTAAAGAGCAGTCAGGGTTGATCTCCTCTGACCGGTTGAATCTCCTTGCAGTCCAAGGGACTCACTCGCAGGAGTCTTCTCCAGCATCATAGTTCAAAGGCCTCCATTCTTTAGCACTCAGCCTTTCGTATGGTCCAACCTTCACAGCCATAAATTGCAACTGGGAAAACCAGTTATTCCTAGTTCCATTTAAAATCAACCGAAGATGTTTTTTTAAGGAGGAAAAATAAGAAGCCATTGTCAAAGTAAAGAATAAAATCAAATCTAATAGCAATAGCACCTACACTTTGTAGTGCTTTATAGTTCCCTCTAAGCAGTTTACAAAGTCTGCATATTTCTCCCAACAATCTTCTTCCTCATTTTACTGACCTCTGAAGGATGGAAAGCCGAGTCAACCTTGAGCTGATCAGCATTGAACTCCTGGCTGTGGGGCAGAATTGGCATGCAATACTGCATTGTAACCACTGTGCCACATTTATGTAATGGTGCTATCCTTTGATATGTTGCAGACTCTGCCCAAGATCTTGGATAAAGTGGCTCCTGCTTTTCTCATGAGTAGCTGCAGCTTCATGCTGGAGAAGTCGCGTGACTCCACAGCCCGAGTGGTGGTTTGGCGGGAAATTGGAGTGCTGAGGAGCTACACCATGGAAAGCACCTATTCTGGATGTAGCCATGGACTCTATAAGGTAGGGTAGGCTTGATTTGAATAGCCTGGGGCTGCAGGGTCTTTCTAAAGACAAATCAGCAACACTTGAGTTCAGCACTGAGGAGAGCACCAATATTTGGTTGAAGGACCTGTTTCTTTAATTTCTGCGACATTCAGCATTACCGTATTTTTCGGAATATAAGTCGCAATTTTTCCCTCCTAAAAGAGGGTAAAAAATTGGGTTTGTCTTATACACCGATTGTAGCCTTGCCCACCCATGGGCAGCTTTGGCCTCTGCCTCCCAGCAATTTACCTCCTTGCAGCAAACAGAGAAAATGGGGCTTGTGGAGGCAGGATTGGCTATGGCAATCCCTTCAGTCTGAAACAGCTGATCATCGGAAGGCCCATGCTGAAACTGAAACTGAAACTGAAACGGGATGTTTGCTGTTTTCTGCAAGGACCCAAATTGTTTGGAGGCAGATTTTTTTTTCTTGTGCTAAGTAGGCTAAACTGAAACAGGCTGTTTGCTGCTTGCTGCAAGGAGGTAAGTCAATAACTATAAATGCCTACAGAATGTTCAGATTATTAGACTTATTTTTAAAAGACTGATTTATTATTGTTTTTGACAACTTAACAAAATGAAGAAGCTTTTTAAAATAAATGTTTGATCTGAAGAGGCCCAGCGCTATTGTATCTTCTTTTAAATAGCAGAGAATAATGTATACTTCCAGAAAGCAACATCAATTTTAACAGCATCTGTACAAGTATACTCTGAAATGTAACATCACAAATAGTCTATATTGTCTGTACTGTTTGCTGCAAGGTGGCAAATTGCTGGGAGGCAGAGGCAGATTCCCCCCCCCCTCCCTTGTTTTTCTCCCCAAAAACTAGGTGCATCTTATACTTTGGAGCATCTTATACTCCAAAAAATATGGCATTCCAAAGCACTGTGGCTCACTTTCTACTCATTTCCATTGCTTCAGGTTGCATACACAAATGAATTTATTTATGCATTTGCTAATGTATTGGCGAGCCATCTTTTGGCTAAGAAGCTCATGAAACAACTTGCACAGATTATTTTGAATGTTAGCTCACTCAAAAAGCGAACATGAAAAGAAAAAAAAAAGAAACCAGGAGGCCAATGTGTCATATTCAATTAGCAACGACTGGAAAAGAATATCTGCTCTTTTAAGAGCTGAGCATAAAGGAGCCTGGAGCTGCTTGTAAAAATGGCAATAAGTTCATTGCATCGCACATCACCACCTCAGGAGGAGACCAAAGCACGGCAGAAGACTTGTCCCATTAATGCAGTATTTCTCAACTTCAACAGCTTTAAAGATGTGTGGAGTTCAACTCCCAATGTTCCCCAGCTAGCTTAAGGTTGTTAAATTCAGGAAAACGGCATTAATTATCGACTTCTGTTACATTGAACTAAAAACAAATTTCTAGCCTTTACAAGGGCGAACCTGAGTTCTTACAGACGTGCCCAGTTCGTTCCTCTGATTAAATTACCTGTGCTTCAGCTAAAAATTAGTAATCACTATTCCAATCAGAATAATAGGTTTTTGAGGTTACAGCTCCTCCATTGGGTTAGAAACTCTTGTGTCCATGTGTGATTTTTCTCTGTGGATTTCTCTTGCACTCGATTCCTCTTCCCAAATGTTTTCTATTTTCCCATCTGTGGTGATTCCTGTTTCCAGAACCCCAGAAACTTATTTAAAATTACATTAATGATTGATGATTACTATCTATGCATTGAATACTCTGTTTCCCTGAAAATAAGCCCTCCCTGAAAATATTGCAACACAGCAGCAGCCATGAGGTGACCATGCTCTCCGCCTGTTGCACCTCAAAAATAATAAGACATCCCCAAAAGGGGGTCAAAAGAAAATAAGACCCTGTCTTGTTTTTGGGAAAACACAGTAGTTTACCATGCCTAGCCCATTAACGTTTAATTTTGAGAATCTCTATTGCTACAGGGCTCCTATAGAGGTGTATATTTGATTTTTTGGGGCCACAGGTTTTTGAGAGATGCATGCATTCCTGGTTGTGTAATTGTGTCTTAGTGTGAGCAGGAGAAGGAAAGGCAACTTGTAGAGTTGACAACAGTTGTAGTGCTGCATTGTTCTTGGAGCCGAGGTGGCACAGTGGTTAGGGTGCAGTACTGCAGGCCACTTCAGCTGACTGTTATCTGCAGTTCAGCGGTTCNTTGCCCCCAACAATCTGGGTCCTCATTTTACCGACTTCAGAAGAATGGAAGCTGAGTCAACCTTGAGCCTGGTGAGATTCAATCTGCCAAACTGTTGACAGCCGGTGATCAGCAGAAGTAGCTTGCACTCTAACCACTGCACCACTGTGACAAGAAGAGCAGATGGCAGGTGGACCAAGGCAGTCATAGAATAGCAACAGCACTTAGACTTATATACCACTTTACAGCCCTCTCTAAGCGGTTTACAGAGTCAGCATAAGGGAGACCCCAACAATTTGAGTCCTCATTTTATTGACCTCGGCAAGATGGAAGGCTGAGTCTACCTTGAGCCTGGTGAGATTCGAACTGCCAAATTGCAGGCAGCCGGCAATCAGCAGAAGCAGCCTGCAGTGCTGCATTCTAACCACTGCGCCACCGTGGCTAGACTGGATCCCACTGGATGAAAAGCATCCCAAAAGAGACCTAAAACAAGATGGATCAGCAAGTATTTTGGAAACATGCCTTATATGCACTAGTGAGTAAGGAAATTGCTCCTCCTTTCCACTTTAACTTTGTGCCAATATTAGGGCATATGCAGCTTGGATACAACTTTGGAGTCCATTTAAAGTATTAATCCAATTAATTAATTCTAATAGATTTTTGAACTAATTTGGGAAAATGTGTCTTTGGACTTCACAAATGCCATTCCAGCTTGACTGATCAATTCGGAGGTATCTCATTTGACATCTGGATTTCCAATTCTATTGAATCAGCGTTGAATTGCATCTTTTAATTTGAGGTTTACAAATGCTTAAAGATCCAAATTAATTCAACTCATGGTGGAATTCTCCAAAATTAAACTTCTCAAGCATTTCTTTTCAGAAGTTATAGATTAAAGTTTCCCCCCTTAAATCCTAATACTTGAACATCAGGGAGCATTTCTCCTTGAAATGAATCTATACAATTGACTCTTCTCCCCTTCTGCAATTTGAAATAGGTCATTTCTCCAGCAGAGTTGTTGTGTGCTAAATCCTCCAGTTGGGAAACTAGAAATCAAAATTTAGAACCCAATTTTGGGAGGAGGTCTGGATGTTGCCTCCAAGGAAGAAAAGAAGACAAAGTTTGTTGTTTGTGGTTCATTGATCATACCCTGCTCCTTTTTCCTCTACTATGTTATCTCGGTCATTTGGCTTCAAAGTGCTGAGAATTAAATTGCAATAATTGGTTGATCCCAACTTAGCTGCCATGTATGTATATCTGATCAATGGAAATACAATAAGCTGACTGAAACTGGCTTTATGAAACTGAAACATAAAGCCAAAGAAACTATTGAACTTATGCATGGTTATTTTAGAAGAAGAAGAAAGAGAAGGAGAAGAAGAGAAGAGGCCAGCATGAATTTTCCTTGAGCTACCTGCCATGATCACTGACATAAACATTTGATATCTGGATCTGGCATTGAGGGTAACATCAGGTTAATGAGTCATGATTGAGATGATTTAGATGCTGTAAATGCTTAGGAGGAGGAGGAGGAAGAGCAGGAGGAGGAGAAGGAGGAGGAGGAGGAAGACAACATATTCCTCCAGTATCCTCTCCAGAACAATATCTGCTCTGCTCTTCAAAGTCCAATGGAATCATTAGCCAAGAGTCTTTTCCTGAAGCAAATGACCAGGATAGTGATCATTTCTCAGTCTCTTTGCTTGAAAAATGGCAAAACTGTTAGTAAATGCAGAAAAGTGATTTCCCCATTACTTCTGAAATGCTGCAGAGATCACCCATTCAATGTTCCTGTCCTTAATGAATTATCATGGCAACAAACCTCCCACCTTTCTCTTCGGATGCCTCTCTACTTTTCCTGGCACAATCTATGCCATCTAATAGAAGCTATAAAAATATAAGAACCCTGCTGAAATCAATGAAATGAAAGGCTTGCTCGGTCCAGCATTTTCCCCCGGTGGCCAATCAGATGCCTCTGGGAAGTCTGCAAAGCACGATTAGAATTTGGAGAAGAAATTGATCTGTCAATAAAATATGGCAATGGGAGAGTTTCCAAGCTTTGTGTTTTCCTAGCTATCAAACGTGTTGATTTTTTTTTTCTGCTCGGGCCTCTGTAATTCTATTGCTCTATGTTGCTCTTTGATGAGGCACACCATGGATTGCTGAGCAGATTCTTGCCTGGTGCTCTCCTTGATGGCTCTCCAAATAGAATTTTGCTCCGGCGTGGTTCTGCCCCGAAGAAAGCGATTGACAGCAAAGCTGATCAAGCTACAAAAGGATGTTCTATACAGGGAACAACAGAAATGAGTTTTTAAATGATTGCAGATACTTGGCAGGTTCTTTTGAAGTGGATTTTACTTGTAATATGGATTTCTCTTTGAAGAGAGCCTTAGGGGGAGTCAGAAACACAAGCTTTGCACGGCCCGCTATAATTGTGCTAAGTTGTGGAAGCTGAGCAGGTCCTGTTTTTCTCATCATTTGGGAGTCAGGCATGAAGGAACAATTTTGATTTCTTCTTCCCTTTGACTTCTTTGACACTCCTCTGATTATTAAGGAAAACTTGAAAGCCTGTAGAGGTGGCATTCCAGACAGCCAAAGCTTTTGAAAGTGAGTAGGTTTACCTGTGCTCTTCCATTCTTAAAAACAACTACCGTATTTTTTGGAGTGCAAGACGCTCCGGAGTATAAGATGCACATTAGTTTTTGGGGAGGAAAATAAGAAAAAAACCTCTGCCTACCAGTATCCATTGGTATTCATGTGGCTAGCATCCTTGCAGCAAATAGCAAACAGCCTGGTCAGCTTCAGCACATTATTGCAGCCTGATTCAGCACAAGCAGCTGATTGGTGGGTGAATT